GAAAGAGTGGAAACTTCGAGTTAAGTGGAACAAAACATTTTTTTATAATTTAAAAATGCTGATGTTTGACATAAATAATAAAATATGCATCAAACATGGTATTTCAAAAAGAAGTGCGAGAAAGACATGCCTCCACTTCCTCTCTATTTTTATAACCTATAGATAGCTTGACATAATGATAGAACGGGTGATTAAAAAGGATAGTTATTAAATTCATTTGTAAATGCATTTTAACAACATTAGTCATTAGTCTCAGGTGTATAATGAATCAGAAGACGTGACTCAATTGACAATTTATATTATCATATTAAGAGCACCATCAACATCAATTACCGAAACAGGGATTAGTCACACATAGTTGAGGTATAGATAGAACTTGATAGGAGAAAAAAAAAAGTCTGCATAAGGGAACTTTTGAGTTTGTATGTGTATACATTGTTGTCCACACCACATGCAGTAACAGTTGATATGATACGAATAGTTCATGATAACAAGTGGCACCAATATTTCTTACTATTGATGACTGACTTAAAGAAAATTTATACCATATATACCAACCTCTTTTTCTTCCATATCTTGAAGTCTGAATTCTAACATTTTGTTATATCAAAAGTTCATAACCCAAAAGCCTACCAAACAGACAAAAAGCGAACCACTTGAAAGGCCTAAATGATCAAATCAGTTTACAGCCATGCAAAGAGGACATTGTAGGAACCTCATTTTTATAGAATGGTTCGTTGCATGTGTACTATTTTCCAGCTTATCACATAGATAAAACTCACGTTCCCCCTACTTCACCTCAACCAAGACAACAATTTTAGTATCTCGGCACCACTTGTGCTGGTCCTTTACTATTCTGTGAACTGAAATCCCATTTAAAAAGAAAAATATGTAAATTAAAAAACGAAAATAGAAAAACTAAAAGAATATATAACATATGCACCTTCAGTATAAAGATATTTTACACTATACTATAAGTCATACAAAGAATAATTTATAATTGGTTTATAGTGTATAATTACACTGATAGTACATGCCTACAAAACTCTTGATAAAAATAAAATTAATTGATGAGCAATATTGATAGCAATGTTTCTTTTCCTATTCAAACTGTTATTTAGCTAGCACAAACAATCACTTGGATTTAGCAGCAATTCTTACCAAGGGAGCCATCAAATAGTATTATTATTAGTATGACATCACATCGTGTTCTAGAAACCCACTTCAGAGAGCTTCATGAAATAAGTAGGCCTTCTGCATCAACTAGTTTAGCACTTTAGATGTACCATGAAAGACCAAGTTTTTCATTTTTTTTTACTTTGGCCAATGTATACCGAGAAACGAAAAAAAAAAAATCTATTTTATGGCTAGGGATCATTTATTGTACAAAATCTAGGATCGAAGACGTCAACTCACCAAGAAATGTTCGATCACTATATTTTTATGATGATTGCATCAAAATTAATGCGTGGGATTTGGCAAAATAAATCTTGGATGACTAGCTTTACCTTGACACTGGGGTATCTTCAAAATTTATGCCATTGGATTAAGTATAGAAAGATATAAACCATTTGATGTGTTGCACTGAGAATATTAAGAATCATTCTCAGTCGCAAGTGCGTGGATCTTTTTACATATAACATGTGTTTACAGTCTGTAGTGGAGCACAGACCACCCAAACGTGATCTTCACAAAATCAAGGTGTGCCAACGTGGGTCACATCATTAGAAGTCAAATGTTTTTGGCAATAAAAGAAGTATAAAAAGACGATGATTTTAATCTGCAATAGACCCTTTGATGATGGCCTGCTCTAGTTTGTTTTAAGTTCAAATCCATGCATCATATCTAGCTGAACTGAGTCCTTGTTTTGTGTTATCTTACAGTTAAGGACGGTGCTGGAGTATAATGCAATGGCAGCGATCACGATAGAAATGGTGGTTTAATACTCCCATTTATAGGGCCGTTTAATTGTTAATTCACCTCATAGCCTCAAAATTGCTTGGAAAGCACGCTAGCTGAGAGATCTATGAACAGCTAAAACATGCAGTTCCAAGATCATCAATCCATTACTATTAACATTCTTTCAAAGGAATTAACTAACTAAAATCTCCTAAATTTTTTGTCAAATTTATCTTCATTCCTACTTATATTTATAATCTTTAAAGATATTCATATTCTAAATAAAAATGTTAAGAGCCTACACTCTTTGCATTATTTTGTATTTTTTTACTAAAATTTATTAAGACTCAAAGTTATTCGAGACTATTTTAAGAAATCTCAACCAAGAGCAAAGTGTAGTGAAAGGGGTGTAAGAGAATGTCTCGCTAAAATTATTTTTTTTAATATTCTTCATTAATATAACAACAACAATAATAATAATTATTATTATTATAATAATAAATGATTACCAACTATGAGAAATACTACATTAAACTACTCAGTTTTGAGATCAAACTTTTAGCTGTAACATTCTCAACAAATGGAAAATATTTATTCACCTAATAGCTCATTAGCTCGTCAATGAGTATTGATTCTTTTCTAAATTTAATAAAACAGTTTTTCAAAGGAATGTCTTGACACTAAATACCTAATTCTTGTGAATTATGTTTTTTTTTTATATATAAATAAGAATTATTGTAAATTATCTTCTTGTGTTATTACTTACATGATACAAAACAGTACTTAAAAGTATTCTAAAAATTTAAAACATAATAAATAATTGTATATAAAGAATTAAGAATTTCAGTAAGACAATAACCATACAATTATCACTGCTCCACAGGTTACTATTCAAATTTAGAATAACCATGCAATTTGGAACATAAAATTAAATCTAAAAGAATTCTTTAAAGGGATACCCCTTTTAAAATAATAATAAAATAAAATGGGACATTACAACATAAAAAAGAGGAAGACTTCAACAAATGTGCTCAGTTTCTTTCAATTATTGATTCATTGTGAGGTAGTTTTGTATAGTTCTTGGTGTATCCGATCATGAAGCTAAAACAATGAAGTAACACGTGAAATAGTTGATTCATTGTGAGGTAGTTTTGTATAGTTCATCCCAGGTAGTTAGTTTTTCCCTAGGTTTGTTCCTTGAACTTCCAAGCCTCCTTTCTTCAGAGTCTATCTTTTCCCAATCACTGAATGAAACGGTTCTGACATTTCTATCATGCAGAAGCTGGAGAAGTCCGTCCCTGCCTGGTTTTGGCATGGCTGATGATGAAATCAACCCTCCTTTTTCAAGGTCTTCTGATATGCTCGAAACCTATAATATATCAGAAGATACAATACAAATATAGTCAAATGCAAGCCTTCTTCCCCTCCCACACTTTTAGTGGTTGAACAAAAAAAAAATTAACATCAGAACGATGAAGAACAGAAGAAATAGCGAACTACAATACAACTAACTTCCTTGCAGAATTGTTAACTAATACAACAGAATCGTTACAAATGTAACTAAAAGCCAGTTTAGATAAAATTCTCAACGAACACTTAGAAGAAAATAAAATGAATAGAAAAGGTACCTAAAATAAATTAAATTTCCTGTACAAATTAAAATCAATTTCTGCGTCTTCCTCATATAACTTCTCCATTGACACATATAAAACTTGACTTTCTTCCCAAGAAAATTCTAATAGCAAGAATTTACGATTAAAGAACTCTCAAACTAGAGACTAATCCACAATGAGCCTGGGTTCAACTATGTAATTTCATCAAGTTGAAGCACATGATTGTCATGCACAGGATCTGTGCATTATGTATGACCCAATATTACCCAGACTCTTGATAGTCTTCCTTTCAAAATTCAAATGCAGCCTAATGCTTCAGCTAACTCAGTGCTAAATCATTTGACATGTACACATACTCCCATTCAATTTTTAAGAAACAAGTTGAGAAACCAGTAAGTAAACTACTAAAAAGCTCATTATTGAGCTCAGTACTTTGGACACAGCTTTAAGAATTCTGAAAAAACATGCAGAACTGTAAGTTTTACAAAGGAGTTGTCTAAGGTATAACAATTAGCTAGAAATTTTAGAGCATGTTTGTTTTAACGTTGAGAAGCTCCAAACGTCCGTTGAATCCAAAATTACAAGACTTATGGATTGAGTTGAACGGATATTGGAAAGTGTGCTAATGTTAAAACACACACTTAGTGTGACTGGTTTCATTATCATCTCATTACTTCTGTCAGTTTAAGTGTTTTGGGAATAATGTGAACACAAACAAGAGATACATACAGTTTCTTCTGCACAATATAGGTTTGTGGCAATAATTCCGCTTGGTCCTCTCTTCAGCCAACCACATACATACAAGCCCTTTTCAAGAACCGAAGGATCTGAAGTGTCACTCAACACTCGACCTCTATCATTTGGAACTATACCTGAAAGGTAGCCATCATATATAAGACTATGAGTTCCTGTCATTGACAGATTTATATACACCCACACATCATGTTTCCAGGCCAATGTCTGAAAAACACCTATTCAATATTTTTTATTAAGAATAATTTATTAACAAAAGGAGAGGAGAGACTACAAAGCGGGAGTGTAAGGAATCCTCCAAATTCCTAAAACAAAAAGCTACAATGAGAAGAATATAGAAAAGAAAGTAAATAAAATAAATCCACACAAGACCAACCCAATTCATTTACAAGTACTGTCCAGAAATACCCTTAAAAAACTACACAAGTGAAACACGCTAGTGCAATTACCATACTCTGATTTTAAGGTTCAAGAGTTAAGCCATCCAAGTATTGTTTTGTTGTCATTTAAAAACTTTTGATCTACGGATAAGTCTGACTTGATCACAGTGAATCAAACAAATATTGAACAAAATCCTGTTATCAATCAAAATCACGTTTCCTGTGACCAATATTAAACAAAATCACGTTTCCTGTGACCAATATTAAACAAAATCACGTCATGAAAAACCAAAAGAAAATCCTAAAGCCGATTTTCAAGAGACCTAAACTTCACCCATAGGATAAACAAAACTATATCACTTATTTCCAAACCTTTTGAGCTGTTAGGTTCGAGAAAATGTTTCTATTTTCATTTTCTGTTTTTCACTTTCACACACCATTTTCAGAAACCAGCAGAAAAAATTCTAGAATCAGACATTTTTAAACAAACATTGATTTAAACATGGCCTCTACATCAGAAAACATGTAACACGAATTAATAAAAATAATGGACCAAAAGTGAACGGATTGAGAGAATCCGTTACTCATTTACCTTTTTTATGATCAAAAGGCAAGCCATCAACTGGTACTGATTTGTAACCAATGCTCTTAAGTACCATCCTACAAAAAACCAGCCAGTTGCAAGATACTCATTAATTAAGCTCAACATTTTGTGATAACAGCACAGGAATAAATATCCTTAGAGGCTGCCCTCAGTCATTTGCTGAGCGTAATATCAATTTCTTTGTGGATGTGGAGTATTGTAAAAAATGAATCTTAGATTATAATGCTAACAGCAGAAAGGATTTAATGACAACTTTTACAACCAAGAATCTTGGTAATTGTATATGATCTCCTCAATGAGATAATACCCGCATTTTATATCTTCAAATTCTCCAGCACCCACGGCAATCTGTTTTCCAGGGCTAACACCTGCAAAACTTAGTTGAGTAAGCATCAATCATAAGTAATTTTTTGCACAAAAATAGACTATTATGGACTTAAAATGTGCTAGTATTTAGCGAAACTTCAAGAAAGGCTTATACTAAACATTTTAGGAAAGCCCAGTAAGTAGTGCACATATCTGCACTTATACAAGAAATATGGCAACTTACAACTGTTTAGAATATTATATATTATATTACATTAGTGCCCATGTTATAAAGTTCCAACTTCAAAGTAAAAAAGAAAATATGGACAAACAAAAATTACCTTTAAGAACTGTTTTCTCAAAGTGCACGCCAGAAACATGGTTAGCTCTGTCTTCAGACTCTTGAAAACTATCTGGCTTACGGAAGAAGACAAAATGGAGCTCACGTTGGTTCAAACTGGCATGTTTAGGTTTTGAGGTAGCAGCCTTAGATAGCAACTCATGAACTCTTCTCTTTATTCGGTTACTCTTAAGTTCTTCCTTTGCCAAGTGACAACAACAATACATAGATAAATCAGTGAAAAGGAATAAGTTTTTTTATATTTTTATAAAAAATATAAAGGTTAACATTCTTAATTTAGATTAAGAAAAGAACAAAAAAGGAAAATAGCACTAATAAAACAGTTATTAAAGAACTAAAACTAGATTCATCTAATACCTCATCAACTGGGGTTAAAAGTAGATCAGATTCCTGAATTAAAATATCAACATTATGAATACCTGAAAAAGAGATGTTAAAGTTTCTGTTAGGGTCATGTGTGAGACAGGAATGGCATATAACTCACAGTACATGACAATCGATAAATTAATTGGAAGTATAAAGCACCAATACAGATTAAGTTGAGAAACCAATAATAACACGTCACATAGTAGGCCAAAAACCATGATTAGGGTTCCATTTTCAGTTCCAACTGAGTCTTAAGGTCGGAAATGGTTTGTAAATCATAATGACTTATGAGTAACTAGAAACAGGTGCAAATAAGAAGAAGCAATAAGTATTTGAAAATTAAATCAATAAGACTGAAATCATGGAATTCAATGGAAAATTGGAAGCTAAACTGACAAGCAAGGTGATCACTAGGGATGCATGTAAAGAAGTATTAGTTTACAAAGGAATCTTCCAAGTCTAATAAACAAAAACATTATGGAGTACGCCATATAACCAAGGCATACCCCCTTTTCCAAACAGTTCCATAGAACAAACCAAAATCAAATCAAAGTATTCAACAAATACGTATAAGAAAACTAGAAAGCTAAATTAAACTTGGTTTAAAAGTTGATGCCGAAGTTACCAAGAATTTCACGCAGTTCTTTTGCAGTACAAGCTGTTTGGGCTGGACCACGTCTTCCAACCAAATAAACCACCCTGCAATATTGCTTATATTACAGACAAACAGCATATGGAATACCAATAAGATTATCTGGTTGCTTGAAATAATGCAACTAAACCTGATAGAGCTCTCCTCCAGAGCAGCCAAAGCATGATTGGCAATATCAGTTGTTGCTAACTCTGTAGTAGGTCGTAAAAGAACCCTTGCAACATCTAAAGCAACATTTCCCTGAAATTAAACAAAACCTAATCCAAGTTAAAAGTTATATCTATCTGTTTGGGAAACTCATCTCCACAACAGAAGTATGTTCTTTAGTCTTAACTCTTAAAATTCATTACATGTGTCTTTTTTTATAAAGAAACTAGTACAGTATTGCTCAACAAGTACGTCTCACTATAAAATTTGGGCAATGCAAGAACATGATAAGTAAAGTTACCTGGCCAAGGATTACAGCTGTATCAGTGCTCTTAAGGTCTGGCTCAAGATTTCGCCCATCTGGGTGCCCATTATACCACCAAACAAACTCTCTAGCTGAATGTATACCTTTCAAATTCTGAGAAGCAAAAGAATATTAAAAAATAGAAAGAAGTTATAGGATAACACAAACTATCAGCTAATGCAAAACCATCACATAAAGCTATTGCTTATACCACAAGAAATTACCAATGAAACACCAAAAAATCTAGCAAATTCAGGAAAAGCACATAAATAAATCGAGCTTACCTCCCCCGGAATACCAAGACTTCTATCACTTTCAGCACCATATGCAAGGACAACCTGCTCAAGTGCATAAACTGATTATTGTAAAGATGGTACAACAGACAAATATCTACTTGAACATGTTACCATTAACACAGCAAATCCAAAACCAGAGCCTCACCACATGATAAAGCTCGCGTAATTCAGAGAGAGAAATGCTGGAACCAAGAGTCACATTCCCCAAAAATGAGCATCGTTCATGCTGTGCCACCTTTGAAAACTGGTTGATAACAATCTGTTGCAAGTTTTCTGGTAAACTAAGCTCAATGGAGTTACTCTCAGTGAAATATATATGTATATATTGAAAACCCCAGCACCAAAAAAAGTTAAAAATTGGGGTTTTGAAATATTTCTTCAAGTAAAACTCAATGTTCATCCTTCAAAATTTTGGCAGCAGACACATTAGTTCCTAGAAAAGTAAAACCACCACTCTAGTCCCTAAGAGTCACAAATCTTATCCATCTTAATCCCAAGACAAATTAGTCCTTAACAAGGGCAAATGAATAGAAAACATTTATTGTTCCAAGGTACAAGGTTGAAATTACGACAATTAACTTAAAATTCATAGCAAGATAATGATTTCTATTTGATTAACTTTGCAAAAAAAAAACATTACACTTGCATAGAAATAAATTTATTTGTTCTTCTCTACAACACCAAAATATCTAAATAGCCGGAACACAACTATGAGCTTGTTTTAGCTCCCTACCCTCTAGCAGCTTCTACTAGCATCACATGACATCCGATAAATTAACAAAAATACCAGTACTAATATATTTTGAAGTTGAGCAGTAACAAATGAATGATGCAAATAACAACAAAAAAAAATAGACCTTTGTTTCAGGGTGATCGGGTGCAACACCGGAGCGGACCAATCCAAAAGGCGAGGGTAGCCTGTCTATGATATCAACTTGTGCTTGTTGGTGCGTCTTCAACATCTATCAAATACCCATTTCGGTTACAGGTATCCATTTTCAAATTCAAAGCGTAAAGTTTCGAGCTTTACCTTCTCGGCAGTGTAGAAGCCAGCAGGGCCACTTCCAACAACACACACACGCAATGGGTTCGAAGAAAAGCCCCTGCTTAACCACCTTCTTCCTCCCAAAATTCCCATTTTTTGCATTTTTGTTCGGAAAACACCTCACAAGTCACAAGCTCCTCCTTGCAGCGTCGATTCAATTTTTTTTACTTTTTTTTTAGTTCTTTGTCCTTTTTAATTTGGGCTTATTGTGATCGAAATCACGCTCACACCATTTTTGGGCTGGTGATTTGGGTGCCCTGTATTGGGCCGGACATCCTTAAAAAACAAACCAGTACGTACTACTACTGAGTCGTGAGGTTCGGATAATATCGGTCATATGTTTAAATCCTGTCATTTACCATTATTTTATTAATCAATATCAACAAAACAACAAAAATAAAAGCTCCAATTTGTTAGCAACACAGTTGGTTCATTAACATTTGGGTTAGATATTAGTATTTAAAATTGATGAAAGCTAAGTAGAAAAATGTGACAATTAGTCGCCAACCACACACACCTCACAACAAGCACAATAATTTTTGTGTGGAATTCAACAACTAAATGAATACGAGAAAGAAAAAGTGGAAGACTAAGTGCATCAAAATAAAAAATATATGAGAGAGAAAAATGAACGAAGAAAGAGATGAGAGAGTGAGAAAGCATGCAACTGTTTCATGGCGAATTTCCTCCCTTTTGGGTGGTTTGGTTAAGTTGACAGTTATATCCCAAACTTGAGTTTAACTTTTTTTTTTTTTTTTCCACAAGCACACATTTTTATCAACCTAAGAAACACTTGCTTCGTCAAGTTATTTTAAGACATACCTATAGTAACAGTTTTAACCTTTTTGTGGGCTCGATCGGAATCTACCTTCAATTAAATGTATGCTTTATTGCAATGTCTACTTTTGTGGTTACTGTGTGAGCTTTTCCATGATGAAAGAAAAGTGGTTCCATTCAATAAAGATAATTAAATCTCAAAAGCGAGTGCACGAGTTTAACGATAGCAATGTCAATTAAAAGGTTGTTATATACGTAGGTTAATCAAAATGCAAATTGAACCTTTTCTTTTTCTAATTACTAACTTTTTTTTTTTTAAATAAGAAATATTACAAAGATATTCGATGAAAACTGAACCTAAATCCTCATGCTTCTAACTACCTTAATTTTTTCTCACCCAACCGCTAGACTAACTTTAATGGTTTAATTACTAACCTTTGAGTCAATATAAGTCGTAAGACAAGACGACTGTAAAAATACAACCCTCTCACACTAAAATGCAAATAATATAAAGTGCACACAACACACGTTTATACCTTCAAAAAGCTTTATTAGCTCTGTTGTAAGCACAGTATTTTGACTTCAATTGCAGCAAATGCATGATAGGATACTAATTTTATAAATAGAAAGGAAAAACTGCACCCACATATAAAACAGTTTTAAGTTATCATTTAATTATAAATTATCATGTATTAAAATTTTATTAACTTTTACAATAATCTCTTTAAAAATCATAATAATAGTGTTTTTTTTATTAATTGACAATATAATTTTTTTTTACACAGTAATACATGACCATTAAACTCTTATAGATATATGTTAAATCCTTGTACAAATTTATCTTCACTTGTGCTTCAATTTCGTAATAAAACTTAAAAGTTGTTTTTTTTAATTATTTATTTATCACAATTATCTTCTTTTAAAAATAATTGTATTTGAGATATGATTGGATATTAAAAATGAACACCTATTTTAAAATATTTCACTCTTAACTCATGTCGTTAAAGACTAACCCTTTGCTTTAAATTTGATACCTGTTGATAATGAAATTAGTGTTTAATTAATTTCTCAATGATTTTGGACTAAATTATGTCCGCTTTTCAATATTTAATCGTATGAAGTCAGAAAGTCACACAAATATATAGATGACACATGACTTCTTCAAAAACTTATATGACTCGCGTGTCTTAATCATAACTATTCATGACAAGATATAATGAATAATATTTATTTTTCACTTTTAATTATATAAAAATATCCAACTATTAAATATTTTTTATTTTTATTAATTATTATATCACTCAATAACTTTCAATTAAATGGTAATATAAAATTATTTGTGACCTTGAAAAACCCCTCATCCCATTCACTCAATTTAATTTGTATATTAATTCAAAAAAAAAAAATCGTAAACCACTAATGGTACATGTTTGTAAACTTTTTCTCTTTTCGTTAACTCCCCTCAACTTTTTTATTGCTTAATTTTTTTTTCAATTTTATGTAATATTCTAAATAAAAAAAACGATATGATATTATTATTCTTACGCATGACTCATGTGATCTTATAATTTTTTTTAAAAAAATAATACTGTAAGAAAATAATTGAAATAGTAAACATTATTTTTTTTCTCTTTTTGGGTTTTAAAAAATATTTATAGAATTTTCAAAATAAAAGCATAAAAACATCAATTAAAATAAGATCTTTAGATAAGATAAATGAAGCGTCAGATTAGATCCTTAGGTTTTTCTATTTTATTTTTATCAATCAATCTTTAGTTAATCCTATTGATACGTTCAAATTCTTTCAATTAATCATCTAATTCTTTGAAGTGTTTCGGGATTTAAAAAACCTTAAAAAATTATAAGATGACATAAAGTCATTTGAAGGAAATTAAGTAATAAAAAAGATTGTGGAGGGGAATTAACGAAAAGGAAAGAAAAAGTACAAAATGTAGAATTAGTGATCGACGAATTAAATTGAATGAATGGTATGCAAGGTCACAAATGACGTGTGTGTGACGTAATAAATTGCATGTGTTAAAAAGGAGTGAATAATATTTGTGGGTATGTGAATTTTAAGAGTAAAAAACGAAAAAGCGAGAGAAATAATTAGATTTAGAGTATGGACCCGATGTTGATTTTGGAATACGGAAATTTTATTCTTTAATAAAACGGAGAGGGAAAAAGAGGTGTCATTTTTGGCTTTTTGCTCCATATGTATACGGAAGGAGACAAAGTGGGCCAAAATAGGGCCCACCCCACTACGATTGAAAAGCCCAAATAGAAAGGAGTTCCCTTTCTCTGAAACTCTCTCAGGTCTATTACACCCAACCCGGGCCCACAAACCGCCTATCTCACCTCCTTAACTACTTTTTCAGGTCAATCTCTCTCAACTTCAAAAATATAAATAAATAAAAACTCATTAATCATTACTTCATGTTTTGATATTATCATAACATACTTAATTTTCCCGTCAATAATAGATTACAAATATATTTTATTAGAAAACAACTTTCTTTGAATTAAGTTGGAATATCATGAACAATAATTTTTTTTAAATATTTAATGCAATTATATACTTAAAAACACAATTTTAAAACTATTAGTTAATTTTAAATAACCACACTTATTTGATTCACGTGGTATAATCTCTTTACTTGTGCATGAAATAAATGAAAAACGTAATGGAGAGTATAAGCTAGTAAAGCTACAAATAGAATAAGGGGAATTAGGTTAAACATATATATGTAATATAAAATGAGAAGAAAAAAAAACAATAGTCAATTGAAAAAACTAAATTTAATTTGTTTTTATCATCTATGATATATATATATATATATATATATATA